TCTTCTCTTCTCTTCTTTCCTTTCTCTTCTCTTCTCTCCTCTTCTCTTTTCTCTTCTCTCCTTTCTCTTCTCTTTTCTCTCCTCTCTCTTCTCTCCTCTTCTCTCCTCCCTTCTCTTCCCTCCCTCTCTTCTCTCCTCCCTGCCCTCCACTCCTCTCTTCCTCTCTCCCCTCCCCTCCGCTTCTCCCCTCTCTTCTCTTCTCCTCCTCTCTCCTTGTCCCCTGCCCTTCCTCCTCTCCTCTCCTCCCCTGCCCTGCCGTCCCCTCCTCTTCCCTTCTCCTCTTCTTACCACTCCCACCCTTTAGGACTTCACATCTCATGGCCCTGAGAAATGGAGCCAGGCTTACCTCGGAATGACCATCAGTGACCTCCTCCAGGTTTTCCCTTCTCAACCTGAGGATGCCGGTCCAGAACTCTTCCACGGAAAGCCGCCGTGGCCGGTGGAGTCTCCCGTGGCCTTGCAGAAGGCCGTCTCCATGACCAAAAACGGGATAGCAGCATCACCGGAACCCGAAGACCAGCAGCTCCAGAAATCTCTGGCCATTTGGAGCGAGGTGGAATATTCCCGGGTGTTGGTGATCGAAAGCAACCAGGGACCAGGCGAAACCTGGAGCGCTCCTCCTCGCTTCTGGTCCAGTGGCTGGGATCTGGTCAAAACATGCCCCGAATCGCCATTTCACCCACAGTTCTGGGTCCAGAATTTGACCTACGAGACTTTCTTAGATGCCAAGTCCTATAGGAAGGCGTCCATTGAATCCGTGGGGGAGTTTCCACTCTTGGTTAGTCTGGTGACCATGGATGAAGAGCTACACTCTGTGGAAAAATCACACCCCTAACCCCACCCGCAAACAAAGCAGAGGTGGTATTCAGCCAGTTCAGACCAGTTCTGGAGAACCAGGAGTAGAAATTTGGAGTAGTTTGGAGAACCGGCCCATACAACCTCTGACTGGCCCCGCCCCCAACTATTCTCCGCCTCCCGAGTCCCAGCCGATTGGCTGCGTCTCCTTTGGTAGCCCTGCACAGGAGAAGGGAGCTGGAAAGCAGGTTAGTGGGATGGGGAGGGAATGGGGATTTTGCAGTATCCTTCCCCCTGCCACACCTACCGCCACGCACACCAAGCCACACCACGCCCATTAAGTCACGCCCACAGAACCGGTAGTAAAAATATTTGAATCCCTCCACTGAAACAGATCTCCTAAGACTTTACATCTCAGCCAACTCAGAAGTTGATCGGTGGAGAAAAATATCTTTCTTCAGAGAATCCTCACATTGAACTGTTTTCAACCGATGGGAAGAATTTGACACAGCAAGAATTCACCGTTTGGGAAGTTTTAAGAGAACCTTTTTGGGGGCTGATCGGAGCTGCTGAAAGCTCCTCTTTAAGATTTGCACCAAAAAAAAACCAAAATGTCATTTTCTCTTAGCATGTCAGCTTTGGAGTTTGCTGGTGTTCGTTGCCAACATCGCCCTGTCAATAGTAGTCCTTCAAATAAAGAGCAAAGTTTTGTGGGTTTTTTGCAATAATTTTCTTAATTTTTTGTTTCAACAAGCATATAATCATGTGAATTGTGTGGTTCTGGAGTGTCTTACATTTTAAAACAAATATGAGAATAGTCTTTGTATTTAATACAATTGACAATCTTATAAACTTTGATATGAATACACATATTTTGTTAAATTATCCATCTTGATTATTCAATATCACAGTATGTTTTTCTTATGCCAATCTTTATATTCTTAATATCACTCCTTTTACTACAGATATTAATAATCATATTTGCAGAGCAAAGTTTTTAAAAGGCATTCCACTAGCCAACTTTAGTAGGCCAAGATTTAATGGACATAGGGAGAGGGACGACTGTGAACTTTCAGACTAAGTCCTTCACTTACAACCATTCGTTTAGTGACTGTTCAAAGTTACAACCAGAACCTACAAAGATTCAGATCTATAGAGCCTAGGTCTTGAGCACACGCTTGTACTGCAGTGAGTCTTGGACCCTGTCACGCCCCTGTCGGAGTCTGAATCCGAGGAAGAAGACTAACAGCTGACAAGGAGTGGAAATGTTGGCTGTGGAAGAAACTGGGGAAGGGCATAGTCTGGTTGGGCAGAGCAGGGCAGAGGTAGAGCGAGGGAGAGGGAATTCAGAGGCATGCAGGCAGGAACAGAGAAGAGAGCAATGTGGGTTGCATGGCTTACGGGGGAGGAAAGGGCCCTGATTCCCTTCATTAGCTGCAGCTGGGAGCACAGTGTATAAAAGAGGAAGCTGTGCACAGAAAGTTGTTGGGAGCAAACGTGAATTTATCTTGTATCGTGGCGGCTTATCTGTGTTCCTGGCGTCTTCCCAACTGTGTAAGTTTTGCCGTGCTTTCAAGTCTGAAATTCCTTCCCCTGCCTTGTCAAGTTAATTACTTCAGCTTGGCTTGTTTGGATTTTTAGTTACAGTCCATATGTACCTTGTTTTGGGCTTAATTTTCTGCAGCCAAAGGCTGTTCCTGGGAGAATTTTTCTCCAGTCTAGAAGGTAACCTGGACATCGGGAGAAAAATTGGGAGATAATAATGGACTCTTATTGCTTATTTGACTGTGTTGCCTTTGTGCCACGCCCCTTTGGGTCATCACAGGTCAGGAGAGAAAGTTGAACACCTTTCACAGGCGCTGTCTCTGACGTATTCTTGGCATCACCTGGCATGACAAAGTTGCAAACAGCACAGTCTTGGAACGTGCTGGAATTCCTAGCATGCTTGTACTAGTGAAACAGTGATGTCTACGCTGGCTTGGGCATGTCATGGGGATGGCTGATGGGCGGATTCTGAAAGACCTCCTATAGGGGGAATTAGTGCAGTGAAAGCACCAGAGGTGGTCTTCAGCAGGTTCTGACCAGTTCTGGAGAACCGGTAATGGAAATTTTGAGTAGTTCGGAGAACCGGCAAATCCCACCTCTGACTGGCCTCACCTCCATCTCTTCTCTGCCTCCCATTGAGTCCCAGCTGATGGGCTGGGTCTCCTTTGGTTGCCCTGCACAGGAGAACGGAGCTGGAAAGCAGGTTAGTGGGGTGGGGAGGGAATGGGGATTTTTCAGTGTCCTTCCCCTACCATGCCCACCGAGCCACACCACACCCACCAAGCCACGCCCACAGAATCCGTTGGCTGAGGAATTCTGGGAGTTGAAGTCCACAAGTCTTAAAAGTTGCCATGGTTGGTGACGCCTGATCTAAAGGCCTTGGGAATGGACATCAACAGCTGGGAAACCTTGACCTCTGATCGTTCAGTTGGAGGCTAAAGACACAGCATGGCCTCCTCCGATTTGAAGAAGAAACACTCGTTTGGCAGGCTGAGGCCGAGAGGCCGTCCCAGAACCAGCGAAATCCAGGGGCTGTATCTGTCCTCAGTGTGGAAGGGGTTGCCACTCTCAAATTGGCATTTTTTAGCCACACTAGATGTTGTTTTAGGACAGCGGTGGCTAACCTTTTTGGGCTCCTGTGCCAAAAATTGTGCAGGCGCTTGCACGCTGATGTTCGTTCGCCAGCACCCAGAAGGCAATGCACCCCCACATGCCCCCTACACATGCGCGCACACTCCCCACCCCCATCCCCCCACCGCCCCCTTACCTGCACTGCACTTCACAGCTGATTTTCGATCGGTTTGAGGCCTTTTTCGGCCTCCCAGAAGCTTTAGGCAGGCTTCTGCAGGCTTCTGCAGTCTTTTCAGGCCGAAAACTAGGCCCGTTTCGTCACTTCCAGTATTTCCGGAAAAACCGGAAGTGATGAAACGGGCTTAGTTTTCACCCTGCAAAGCCTGCACAAGCCTTCCTGAAGCCTCTGGGAGACCGAAAAAGGCCTCAAACCCGCCGAAAATCAGCTGTGAGGCACGCACATGCGCAGTGAGGTAAGTTTGCTTGCAGCTCACGTGATGGCACAAATGGCTCTGCGTGTCACAGGTTCGCCATCACAGTTTTAGGACCTCTTTTCAGAACATAGTCTCTCGAGACTGAAGGATGCCAATTCAAAGTTACAACCTCACTGGAAAAAGGGACTTGTGTTATGACCGCTTTTCACACTTATGACCATTACAGCCTCCCCATGGTCATGTGACCAAAACTTAGACCAATGGCAGCTGACTCATATTTATGATGGTTGAAGGTGTCCCAGGGTCATGATCCATGGGGGAATCCAAATTTAACAAACTGCAGTACTAACTTATCCACTGCAGCAATTCGCTTAACATCTGTCGCAAGAAAGGTCATAAAATAGGGCAAAACTCACTGCACCAATGTCTCACTGAGCAATGGAAATGTTGGGCTGAGTTGTGGTCGTAAGTTGAGGACTACCTGTAAAATTGGTTTTGCAATGCACTCCAATTGACTTACTCAGCCCTTAAGGATTTTTCTACAGTCTTCAAGGAGCAAAAAATAGGATTTCTGGCACGGAGTCCCACAGACATATGACCATGATTTATTATGTATTTTTGCTGGAAACTGGTGTTTATTTACAGTTTCTGCAAAAAACACCCATAATAGACAATGGCTTCATTTAATGACTATGGTATTTGCTCAGTGACTGCCAGATTCACTAAATATCCACCAGAAAAAACTCCATAAAATCAGTTTGATTACACGATGACCTGCTTAATGACTTACAACCATAATTCTGGGCTCAATTACAGTCATAAGTTGAGGACTATCTGTACTGTATACAAACTGGGAGTGGGTAAAGAGCATAGCCTGGCTAGTTGGACAGAATGGGATTTATACTTCCACCCATTTACCGAGTACCAGATGAGGAACCATAAAGAACTACAGGTAGCCTTGATTTACAGCCATTTATTTAGTAAATATGCAAAGTTACCAGCATTGGACAAAGTGTCTTCACGCTTCCCACCAAGGAAATGTGGCAAGAAATGTCATAAAATGAGGCAAAACTCACTTAACAAATTTCTCACTTACCCATATAAATTCTGGGCTCAATTGTAAGTCGAGGATGATGGCTAGTCTAGTAAAGAGAAGAACCAGGGGAGACAGGAGAGCAGCCTTCCAATATTTGAGGGGCTGCCACAGAGAGGAGGGAGGGGTCAAGCTATTTTGCAAAGCATCCAAAGGCCAGACAAGGAGCAATGGATGGAAACTGAACAAGGAGAGATTCCGCCTGGAAATAAGGAGGAATTTTCTGACAGAACAATCAACCCACGGAACAGAAGTTGCCTTCAGAAGTTGTGGGAGCTTCATCCCTGGGGGTTTTTGAGAAGAGACTGGACCGCCATCTGTCAGAAATGGTATAGGGTCTCCCCTATAGGGCAGTGGGTTGGACTAGATGACCTACAAGGTCCCTTCCAACTCTGATTCTCTGTTATCTGTTTATCTGTAAGCTGTTTTGACTGCCTGTCTCCTTCCCACTCACCCAGTTTTTGACACTTGCAATTGTACAAATTCAACACTAGAGGGCAAAGTGGTTCCATCGCTTTCCTGAGCATTTCCTCTGAGAAGCAATCCCAAACGCTTTATCGAACGTGGCAAGTTTAATTCTAAGTCTAATACTCCCACATTTTTTTTCTTATTTAGAAGCAATGAGATGATTATTATTCCTGTTGTCAAGGGCTGGCTATTTTTAACCTCCCTGGAACTTTTTGCTGAGTGCCATGAAAAATTCAGGGATATCCAGAAAAGTCCGTAGCTATTTTAATGCCGATCCTCCCCCGATTTTTAAGGAAAACATCTACAAGATTGATTGAGGAACACGGCTCAATCCCAAATCTCCATTGCTAAGCAAGACAGTTGTTCAATGAGTTTTGCCCCATTTTACGACCTGGTCACTGTTGTTATGTGAATCATTGCAGTGGTTAA